GCAAACCCTTCGTGGGCCGAACCACCCTTGCCCGCTTCCGATCTTTCATCACAGTAGCAAAATGACAGTGATGAAGTAGCAACGAAAATCATTTTATGGTTGGGGGTGGGGAGGGTCACCACCACATGAGGAACTGCATTAAAGGGTCACGGCATTAGGAAGGTTGAGAACCACTGTATAAGAAGGCGGACTCCCAGTCATCGTTTTGGGGGCCTTCCTGGGACCAGGAGTGTGCCCGGTCCACCCTGTGGAGCCCTGCCAACAGTTCAGACTCCGGCACTGTTTTGTTTTCCCCTGGGAAAAGGCTTGCCTCTGCAGGAGCCAGAGTGCTGCTAAGCATGTTCTGAGAGTCAGCCCAGCAGCTCTGCTGGGCACACTGGTGTGTCCGACTCAGCCAGGCCAAGCTCTGGGGATGGGCTTCGTCCTTTTTGAACGACCGGGCGCACCAGGCGCCGAGTGGAGGGCGCAGGTAGCACCGGAGACCACTTCCAAGTGCACATTTGCACAGCCCTTCAGAGAGCAGGCTCGGCTCTCACCGTGAGTGGCCTGAGACTGACCGGTGGAAGTGCTGCTGCATGCACCCAACGCCAACCAGAACGCTTCTCGCCGTGGGTCCTAGACTCCCAGGTTGTACGCAGAGCCAGACAACCTTTTCTCTATAAAGAATTCAGCCTTGGACTCTCAGATGTCCGATGCATCGGCTCACATGTGCTATTAGTATTTACAGCATTGCTTGACCAGCATCGTTGTTCTTACTCAGACAAGAAAAGGGGTTATTTACAGGGTGCCTGTCCTGGTATTTGAGGAGCCCTGATAGTGTTGCATAGTGGTTACTCATTGGGTTGCTAATTGCAACATCCAAAGTTCAAAATCACCAACTGCTACACAGGCCTTTCTACACCAGTGCCTGGCGCACCTTATGACAATTCCAGAGACAGCATAGGGACCAGTCAGTTCAGGCCCTGGGCCAGCGACCTTGCAGTCGCTAAGCTCCACACAGCGACTAGGCCGGGTTCTTACACGAGTGTAACACACTCTACAAGCCAGACAGTCTTTGAACCAATTTATTCCAGCAGGCGTTCACACACACATATCACTAGCAAGTCGAGAAAGTGGGCAAGACTTTCCAGCAAGAGCGGGGAGGGAAGGAGGGTTTTCCTGTTGCAGCGGTCAAGGAAACTGTACCCTCTGGGATCTTGGCTGAATTTCTATACAGTTTGGTTTAGGGGGGAAGGGGTGAAGTCATAGGTGTGATCGTGGGTGGTCGGTCCGATGAAGGGTCGGTCCAGCCTCAAGCCTTCCATCCAGTCACCTTGGACGCTGGCCAGTTTCGGTTTCCGTCTGGTCCGCCACTTTGTTGTTTTCCTCTTGAGCTTGCTGTCCGATTTGTACTGTCTGTGGGTACTCCATCGTGCCTGCTCGTCTTGGAAGCTCACAAGGGCAGTTTCACCCTTTGTTATTTGTTTGTTTGTTTGTTTGTTTTCTGGTTTGGTGGCCTTGGTAAGAAACCTGGTGGCATGGTGGGTCACATGTTAGGCTGGTAACTACAAGGTCATCAGTTCAAAACCACCAAGTGCTCCAAAGGAGAGTGAGCAAGCGCCTGCTCCCATAGCCTTCCGGCCTCAGAAACCCAGCGGGGCGCAGCCCTGCTCTGTGGTCCCTGAGTCAGAATCTACCAGGGGGGGTGGCTTTGGTGGGGACACTGGTTGGGTAGCCCTGGCAAAGTAAGCAGTGGCTGGCTAATCCCACGGACAGCGATTCAAACCCTCCAGCCCCTTCAAGGGAGAAGGGTGAGGCTGTCTGCTCCCACACAGACGCACGTTTGGGACCCTCCAGAGAGTCGCTGTGGATCAGAATCAGTGCAGTGGCCATCAGTGGTGGGCAGTGAGCATCCTGCTCCGTAAATGTTTTTAGGGTTTATAAAAGTAATGATTCTCCAGCGCAACTTCCACCAGAAGGGAAACGGCCAAGTGTAAACCAAGGAACGTGTGTGGCTTTCATGAAAGAGAAAATTGAATATGAATGTATCCATTCAAAGACTTCCAAATAATTTTCCTCCCACAAGACAGGCAAGTCCGGTGGTGTGAGCTTGTCATTTCTTCAGAGCACATGTGGCTGTAGATTCTTGAGCATAATCACGTGCTTCAGACAGTGTTGGATCCATTCCTCTTCCCCAAAAATCGAAAGGGGCCGATTCGGGCTTTTCTTATTCACCAAAACACCGACTGGGGACCTTCTAAAAGGCATTTTCCAGTGCGTGTCCAACCACGCTGAGAAGTGGGAGTCACCGAAACATGAAGAAAAGGTTCACGTTGCGAAATCTAGTTCCATCTCCCTCCGCCTGTTGCTGCCAAACCAGTCAGCCATCTAGAAATTCTGTACCCGGCTACCCTCCCCGCCAGGCTGCTCCTGACTGGGAGGGAGCAAGAACTCGCGTCAGTAAATTCGAGTTTCCCTAGAATACCTGAGCAGACGGAGTCTTTGTTCAGAGTCCTTCCTCCTGGGGCGCAGAGGTTACATCTCCCGTTTAAAGATATAAATAAAGAGGAAAGAAGAATTCCTTCCCCCCCATGAATCTTCCCACCCTCCAAACTGCCCATGTTGTCAGGAAGAGAATATTATCTCCAGGGTGTTCGCTTTTGACCCCATGCTGTAGAGCAAGTCCAGGGGCAGGTCCTCCTCAGAGAGGGAGAGGGAGCTGAGGGTCTCTGCTATGTCGGACTCCCCCTCCTCGGAGTAAACATGAGGCTGGTACTGGGAGTCAGGGTCGTCTTCCAGGATGTCCAGCTAGGGAAAACCAGGGAGAGAGGTTAGACTCCACACACTGCCCTGTGACCCCAGCAGACCGGCACGGGGTGCTACATGACCACAGGCTGGGCCCACATCCCTGACGGCCACACAGGCTTCCACAGACCCCCTGCCTGCTCACCGCCATGACTACTTCTGCCCGCCATCCAGCTCCTCTGCCCTGTCCGGTGCACAGCCTCCCCCCACACTCACACCACGACCAGTGCTTCAGGTCAAGCCTGCCACCACACCTTGTGGCCGGCCGGCCGGCCAGGGAGCAACCAGACCCACCATGCCTCCCTAGTGCCAGCGTGGGGCAGCCACGTGACCAAGGATGCCAGATGGTGAGAGGCCCCAGTGTGTGCCTCTGCCTACACAGACCTCCCTGGGGTCCCTGATGGCGACAGGGGTTAACATGCACGGCTGTAAATACCCAAAGGTGGGCAATTCCAGTCCACCTGGCGACCTGTGTCCATAAAGTTTACAGCCTACAACACCCATATGTGACCCTGGGAGGCCATGAGATGGAATCGGCCCCTCAGAGCTCCCATCTAATCCTGTGCTCGCTCTGTCCTCTGCCAGCCAGCGTCCCCATGTGCCTAGTGGATCAGAGAGCCACGCAACAGAGGGAGCCTGCCTCCATGGGTCCCAGTGGGACGGCTAAAGATCCACATGGATCCTATCCTGACCCGGCAAGGCGAGGATGGCTCCCGGGTTCAGGGGCCCAACCTCCCTGATGAGCCCCCTGCTAACCAACCTCTCCACACAGACCAAACCCCAACCGCGCATGGTCACAGTCAGGTCTGACAAACAGCCCAGAGCTGCCTCTGCGGCGTTCTAAGATGGCCACTCTTTGTGGAAGTAGAAAGCCTCATCTTTCTCCTTGGGAGCAGCTGGGGGGTTCAAACTGCTGACCTTGTAGTTAGCAGTTCCACGTGTAACCCACTGGAACATCAGGGCTCTCCACACTGCAGGGCACTCCACACTAGAGCTCAGAAACTGCTCCCCTCCTCCGCCTGCCTAAAACCCCGGTCAATGCCCATGACTCTGACCCCTGAGGACATTCAAACGCCAAAGAACCACAGCCTGTCTTCCTGAGCAGGGCCAGCGGGGTCCATCTCTGGGGCCCTGGGAGTGTCTGAGTCCCTCCTCTGAGCCTTCACACCTGCTCTGCCCAGGAGGAGCACCTCCTTGCCAGCCTCAAGCTGGGGGCCTCCAGGCCACAATGCAGGGCCTATGCCACTGTCTGGGGGCCCATGGTTCCTACGCACGAAACACCCCCAACATCCTGTGGCCTGCCAGAGGAGGCCTTTCTGTGAGTGACTCCTTTGGGGGGTTTGCAGGTACCTGTGGGAGCCTCACCTGTCCCCGAGTGATGCAGGCTAGAAGGGCAGGATGCTCCTCCCTCCCACCACTAAGCCCCCAGACCAGCCCTGCCCAGGCATTGGCAGTCCGGGCACATCCTTCCGGAGGCGGAATAGATCATGAATGGGGGGCGCTGCTCGGACTCAACCTCAGAACTCCCAGGGTGGGGACAGGCATGCTTTCCAGCCTGAATCTGAAGCTTCCCGGGGCCCGTAAGATCAATAATTCATCACAAACCCCCAGCCAAGTCCGGAGGCTGCCAAGGAAAAAGCAGCCCTGCTAAGCAGCCGTGGGTCTGTTTTCCCTCCACTCCAAACACCGCACGCCAAGCTCTGAGCTGGGCCGAAGTGTTTGCCTGCTGCCTGAGGGGGCTGGGGGAGGAGGGGTGCATGCACACGTGTCCGCACACATGCCCCAGCCAACAGACACCCTGGGGTAGCCACCTCTCTGACTGTGGCCACTAGCCCGGTGGCTTGCATGTAGCCGTGAGTCTGGGGGCTAGGAGCTGTGACCACCAGCCTCCCCATGACTAGCGGGAGGGGTGGGGGGAGGAGCTTTCAGCAGAGCTTCCAGACTAAGAGCCTACAAGGAAACCCACTGGCTTCCACCAAGTCAATGCTGACTTGCAGTGACCCCGTAAACTGAGCAAAACTGCCCCAGTGGTTTTCTGAGGCTGTAGATCTGTGGATCTGTCCGGGAATCAACAGTCTCATCTTTCTCCGAGGAGCTGGTGGACGAGAACTGCGGACCTTGAACTGCACAGTCCAGTGAGCAACCCACAGTGCCACTGGAAAGAAAGGCCTGGTGATCCCCCGGTGGGACCGGAGAAGGGCAGATGTGGGGCTGGCCACTGACTCCCTGGATTCAGAAGCACTGAAAGTACAGTGGCTGCCACCAGGGGCACAGCCGTGAACACAGGCAGTGCGCTGGAAGAGGGCCTGCCACGAGCCAACTGGACAGCTGGCAGCCCCCCAGCACACACCTGCAGACACACCCACCCGGGCAGCCACGGTGGGGGACAGCTGTACACAGGCGCCCTGGTGCAACAGGGAACTCCCGGGTCCCTTGGGGAGAGAAAGAGAAGGCGGTCTGCTCTCATAAAGACGGACACCCACAACCCCTAGTAGTCCTACTGGATGGTCGTGAGCAGGGATGGGCCCGGGGCCGTGGGCCAGAGGGAGGAGAATGAAGGAGCCCAAACTGCGGAAGCATGCTGCCTCTGGGGGGGCTGGCCTCCACGTGTTTAACAGGTGCCAGAGGACAAGGGGCAGGCAGGTGGGGGCAGCTCCCTCGAGGCACAGGTCGGCATCCCTCAGCTGGCCTGCAGGCCAGACTCTCCAGAGAAGGTCATCTAGATCCCAAGGCCCTGACCAGGGAGACCACTGTGCCCAGCCCGCAGCAAGACACCACCTTCGTCTAGATCAGTGATTCTGGAGGGGCCGGAGGGGCCACGGGCCTTCCCTAGAAGCCACCAGTCTGTCCCACTCCCCTGCCTGATGTGACGCCACTGGCCCTGAAAGGGCAGCAAGCAGGCCCTGTCCCCCGGCCCGGGCCTCCCTGGGGACACCCCAGCCCGGGTACTTGGTCCTCCTTTTCATTGGCTCCAGATTAGTAATATTTGTCATCAGAAAGGGAAGGAACCCCTACATCTGTCTGAGGGGACGTGCCCCCTGGCTGCTCTGGGACGCCAGATGGGATGGCACCCATAGAACTCCGAGGAAGCTTCTAGCAGGGGTCTTGCTTCATGGGGAGAATCCTGAGATTATAGATGGAGCTGAATGCAAGCCATTGGTGTTTGGACCTGCTCTTCTCTGACTCAGCCCTCTAGACGCTTTAAAAACCGACTTACCAGGAGCTGGGGAGATGGGGGCGTCTGAGGATACCGTGATCTTGTAAACTTCTTCCACAAATCCCAGCGCATACGGCTGCTCTCCAGCCACGTGGAGTCCCTGTGTTTGTGGGCTGCTTGGAACTGAGTCCGAAAGCGTGGATGACCACAAAACCCGTGGGAACACTGAACGCTTCGGCCAGTCTTGTTGGTAGGGAGTTCTTGGTGGGCCCTCCTCTGATAGCAGGCCTCTGCTGCTATCAGTGCTCTAGCGTCTGCACGCACGGCATGGTCCCGAAGGCCCCCTTAGCTAAAAACCCCGGTCTACTTGTGTGAATCACAGCAGAAACCTTAGGACTTTGGGCGTATTCTTAGCAACCCAGAAGCGAAAAAAAGAAGAAGCAGTAATTGTGCCTTTGAGACAGTGGATTTAAGGACAGGTGTGTGTCTGCCAACAGTCACTTGGGCAACCACGCATTCATCCGTGTTCCATACGGCTTATGGGCTTGGCTTTTAAAGAGCAAGTTGCTCCCCTTCTGTTTATTATCCCCCTGGCCCCCCACCCCCTTTATTTTTTTGGTTTTGTTTTTGAATGCTTGAAGCAATTTCATGTGTAATTGCCAAAAATGGGAAGAAATGCCCTTCAGTAGGTGAATAGGTTTCATCCTACTGGTTTTACAGGAGCCCCAATGGCAGAGTGGCTTAGATGTTGGCCTGTGCCTGCAAAGTCAACAGTTTGAGCCCACCAGGCACTCATTGGGAGAAAGACGAGGCTAGCTGTCCACATAAAGAGTTGCAACCTTGGGAATGCACAGGGGAAGTTCTACTCTGTCCTATGGGAGCCCCCATGAGTCAGCAATGACTGGACAGCAGTGAGGTTGGAGTTTGGGGGTAGCATAGAGGGTTATGTGTTGTCCCAGTAACGACAGGGTCAGCAGTTCCAACCCACTCGCTGCTCCTTGGGAGGAAGAGGCGGTTTTCTATCAGAATCGATGGGAAGGCAGTGAGGGGCTTTGAGCCCTTGTGAAGATGTCCAGCCCTGGAAAAGCTTGGGAGTGGCTTCTTTGCTCTGTCCTAGAATCCTGCAGCCCTGGACCGTGGGTGGGACACAGGTGAGGCAGAGGACATGGTGCAAGCAGCCCTCAGGCTTTGTCTGGCTAGCAGGCAGGTGGCTGCGGCAGGGACTGCAAGGTGGATGCTGCTCCTGCTGCCTGAGCAGGTAGAACCAAGAGCAGGGCCAGGTGAGTCCACCCCCTCCTGGCGCACTCCCTCTCTCCGCTCCACCACTGCCCGCCCCGCCTCTGCCTCCGCTGGCATCCAAGCGTCCCAGCAGCAGCAGTGGCCCAGGACCAAAGGGACATGCCCATGGAGTCCTGCCTCACCTCTGTGCACAAGCTCTCCCTTGAGTCTGAGCCCAAACGCAGCCGCACGGGATGGACAAGGCATTGGATTCTTGATAAGGAGCTTTCCATCAAAACTTTGATAAGATACCACAGCCCTGGGCCTCAAATACCTCTCTCCTCACTAGATCAGAGAAGCACATTTGTGCTCAGATAATAGCTAGGTAAATTGGAAACCCAAATAAAGTCTTTAGCTTTGTTCCAACATCAACACGCTGACTTTGATAACACCCCGTGGTTCTGGGAGAGGCTGCCAAGGGGCCGGGGAGGGGTCAGGGCCCAAGTGGAGGGTACAGAGGACTCTGGCTAACTTCCTGTGAGTCTACAAATATTTGCGCCCACATCCTAGTGAAAGCAAATAACTGGTTCTGTAACTCTCGTATTGTTGCTAAGTGTCTTCAAGTCAG